TGACGGGTAGGTCTGTGCAAGCCTTTGATCAGTGACATTCTCCCGGGGGCGGCAAGCCTTTGGCCTGCTGCATGTGAGCATCAATGACTAAACGTTGTCCCAGGCAGAGGAACAGAAATGCAAGGCAGGCATGCGGCAGGAGTGAAGGAAGGAACTCATGATGAAGTTAATGATGAAGAAATAAGAACGGACACAATGAAGCTGATCCTATCCTGATCCTACCCTAAAGCAAACACTGAATCGAGCCTAAGACTGATCTTAAATCAACCTGAAGCCTAGTGCCAAACAACGCCTGAACCCGCCCTCACCGCTAAGCTATCTCTAGACCAGCAGCCCAGCCTAGATCCATGCTGAACCAACCCTGAGTCAACTGTAAGCCAGCCCGGCACTATTTCAAGCCTCAACCCAAGTCAAATAACTGGTACGTCCAGTCTGGATCAACACTCAACCCGCCTGCAGCCACCTCAAAGATCCTCAAAGAATCTTGAAATAATTGACTGCAAACAGCTCTGTGGCAATCTTGAACCTACCATACACCAGCGCTGAGCTAGTTCTGAAGCACAATTTGCACCGGGTTGACGTGATTGGGGCGCGTTTAGAGCGGGCACAAATCAACACGAATCGGGTGTGATCACGGTTGTGAGATGCTTGCACTACATTTATGTTGGCTTGGAGCGAGCAAAGGGTTGATGTAGGCTATGTTAACTTAGGATAGCTGTTGGGTTAGATGCTGAGGCTTAATTAAAGATGGGCTCAGGGTGCATCTAGGATGAGTGAACGCTGATGTCATGATGCCAGACTTTGAATGAAGCCTAAACCTAAAACCTAAAGCCATCCTGCCCCGAACCTCGCCCTAAGCAATCCTCACTCCCCAATCTGAACCTCGCCCTATGTGTATATGTCTGAATCTTCCATTTGCTCAAGAATAGGTTTTATCCCACTTTGCTGGTTTTGAAGGGGGAATCTCTCACTTTACATTTTGCCCAGGGGACTTAAGCAAGCGGAGGATATCCAGCGTATGAATTCATCGGATCAGGACCTGAGCTCCATGTTCCCGCGCCCGGCGCCATGGACGCCATAGCCCCAGAGCGGATGGATGAGGTCACCTGGAAAACGAGCTCTCCGCATAGTTGAAGGTCCTATTCAAGCGGATCCCTGGTTTCCGGCTTAGGGATGGTAACTTGCCTGATTTGTGGTATGTTGCTCATAGACAAGTTTGCGCTTTGTCTTGGACAGGGGTCATGATTCTGGTTCTGTTTCTGAGAATTATCGCAATCAGAAGCTGGGGTCAGCTCCGTGTAACCTACCGCTTTGGGGGATTGACTTTGATAATGTTGACGTAGATAGGTGTGTAGCGGCTCACAAATCCTCCAAGCTGGGACTTGCAATGGCCAATCTTGTTGGCTTTAGCATCCCGTGGGTCTCCTCCAGGGAAGCTTGATTCAGATGGTGTCGGAAACGACCGCGAGACAGGAGAGCATCAGCGCCCTGCACGACGACGTGGACCTCATGCTGCAGCGGCTCAGAAGGCGAGAGCAGCCAAAGTCGACGTGAAAGCTCAGGGAGAACGGCGTTTGATCCTCTCAAATCGACAGACATCAATGTATGCTGACTGTAGCCATACGTCCTCTGAAATCGACGGAAGCCAATGCCATCCAATGCCTTTTTGCAGCTTACGCCCTCTGTCCTGAAGTTTGCCGCAAGTTGCCAACCGGGCCGCAGGCATTTGGCGCCTGTGGAAGCCACCGCCTGAGGCTGGACCAGGGAATTGGGTAGGCCTGGGGTCTCCACCAGTTCTGACAAGGAAAGCAAGGCTTGGTCTGTGGATGGAAAGAGCAGCTGGTGCGTGAAGATGATAGGATTCACCTGTGTCCTGCCTCAAGCGTAATCTGTTTCAAATGTGGCCTGGCAGGAGCTAGCCAGAAAGGTCCACTCAGTATGCGCATCACGTGAGGGCGGAATGTTGGAACGAGTGACTTTGATCAGCAGGACCCCGCAAGGAGGAATGATGGCCAAGGATTGCAGAAGTAGGACATGCAGCAAGCTGCAGCTTCATGATTCCCATATGTGATTTTATTCATCAACATGACACTCTTTTACCGTGAAAGTGAACACATGCATATTCAGCCTAGATGTCCCCTTGTCCGCGCTGTGTCAAAGGGTGGTATTGAGTTGAATCGGCGTGTAGCCTGCTTCCTGGTCTTCAAGGGGGAGGGCAACGTGTTGTTTCAAAAAAAGCACCGTGAACAGTTATTGGACTCAAGGCTCCGAAATTTGACTTGCGGCTTTTGTTTGGGGGTTGGCCGTCGGTCGCCAGATCGACCACAGGAAGGGTTGGCGAGACTTGTTCCTGGAGGGCATTAAGCTTTTGGGCTGCTACAGTTTGATCATCCGGACGCCTCACTTGAACCCGGGATCGCGAAAATAGACATTGGAGTTTTTTTTGGGCAGCAAGTCCAAGAACCTCCTTCCACTGTTGCCCGCTGCTATTCCCCAGTTTGGGCTTGTCTCAACGACGTCCCTGGTGTCAAATATCGAGGGAGTTGCAGCCTTAGACAGTTATTCACTACCCAGAATGGACATCGCGGCATGTAATTCAGATATTATTCACCTGTTGCTCAATACTTACCTGTAGAGAGAGTGGTTATCTTGGAGAGTGGAGGCTTACCTTGCTTTCATCGGCAGCGGTCGCTAGTGTGTAATTTGCCGGGACGGTTCCCGCAGACTTTGGGCTGGTTACTTTGAATCACCAGCAGTCTCGCACTGAACGGATCGTGCGATCCACGGATCGTGTTCAAAGTGACCAGGCAGTGACACTTGCGTATGCCCCTGCGTGAAAACTAATCAGGTCACAACGTGCAGTGGTAGAGTTTCTCCGGCGGGATATATTGAAGCCAGGCAAAAATTAAATCATCTTCAGGGTGCACCACATTTCTCACACATCATGATCCTGTCTCGGGGATCCTTGGGAAGAACAGCTCCTGAGGAGCGCGCCTTCGCGCCTTGTTTGAAGGGCGCAAGCTTGCGCCCTCACAGCCTCCCCAGCACCTGTTTTCTGATGGTTCCACCACCCCTTTTTAGCATGGATTGCAGAGAAGCATGGTTTTCCACCAAGCTCACGGGCAAGTTCCTGCTTTCTGGACATGTAGCAATGGGTTGCGCGGTTCGGCGCCAGGTCTTCCATTCCTTAGCACAAGTCTCACCCTTGCCAATGACTTTCCGGACCTGCGCGGAGATGAGCTTAAAGAAAGTGAAGCTTAGCAGGCTTTTATCAGCCATGTAGCAGTGACCATTTCAGCTGTTCGATCTCATCGCAGGACTGGCTTTGCGATTTGTAAAGGGCGGAAACAACGTTTTGCAGTCAAGGCAGGGAATGCCCTAATGCCTTGACAGGGTCCGATTCTCGCACGGACAACAATAAGCGCACCTAGTCTGCTCATGGTTGATCGGCCCCATCGTTGAAGATGTTGGCTTCCTGGCAGCAAACATGAGCTTGGTTTCCTGTCACTTGGCCTGGGTATTCTAAGTACTTGATCAATTTGGTGGCCTGGATTGGTGGCCTCTTGATCTTGACAACCTTGACACTGTTTTTCGGCAAGTGTCTTCAACAAGCAAAGGCCCATTCGCTTCGTAAACAGTAGTACTTCAGGCGGTCAGCAAGCAAAGGTCCACTTCCGTGGAAGTGATTCCGGAAGAAGCCACACATTCAGCACAATCATGGGCATAGCATCCGAGACCCCGTTTTGTTAGAACACATTTAGGGTCGCCAACGCAATGAACATGTTTCCGTGTTTCTCTTTCACTGCCTGACTTGTGCTCACTAGGGTGGCGCCGGGGAGTTGGCTTGATAATGCGTAACCTTAATCTGTGCAGAGGTCAATGTTGCACCTGGACAGGACTACAACAGCGCTGAAATCCGTGCTGGAATTGATCCACACGAAGCCTAACGGCTTTACACGCGAATTCACTCATGGCCCACCCGTATGCAGTTGCAGGCCGCCCAAGCTGCGTGGTCTTTGAAGACGACCTTGCTGAAGTGTGGTTGCGTCAAAATGTTCACAACGGTTAGGAAAAAGCTTGATTGAAGAGGGTGTTCCTTTTTACTCGTCTCCCTGGGGTTGAAAATGTGATTCCCCCTGGCAAAATGCATGGATCATTTGCAGATCTCGAGTGCCACCAAGCGAAATTGAGCAGTTTGCATTGGGCTGATCTTGCCGCACAAATGGCCGCGGGTTCGCGCAAAGGTGCGGCCCAGAGCAGATGACGACCGTAAGTGTCAACGGAAGAGCCCGCAAAGGGACGCATCCAAGGAGTAGCAGCTGGCCCCAGTCGTTGCCGCTTGAAGCTGCATTTAAATTGGAGGACCTGCTTTGGTGATGTCTTCATGGATTGTTGACTCTGCGGGCATTGTGTACACATACGTCTATATATAGTGTGGATATATATATATATATATATATATAGTCTTACCCTGTTCTCCTTGCTGCCGGTTTGGGTCCATACCTCTGCGGGCGTTGGCTCAAAATATGAGAAAACATAGACATGGTTGAAGAATGCAAAGCAGATGCGTGGGAAGAAACAATGTGGGTCTGGGTGCGCCAAAATTAGGGAGACCATGGTGTCCTTTTGATTCCCCTCTAAAACCAACCAAAAAGGGTGTCCCCAATAAACACACCCAAACACAGCCATGTACAAGGCGATCCAGACGAATTATCGCCAGCTTTCGAGGATGCCTTTTTGAACGGTTGAGGTTTGAATAGTTTACTTCATGAAGCGGCTTCGCTTGTCCGCTTGGCCAACGCAGCCCCAAGTCAAGAGAGTCTGAGCAAAACGTATGCTCCACTTGGAAGGGAATTTTGCCCCCGCATGAACATGCCACTAGGCTTCCCCCACCCCCCACAAAAAAAGCTGAAAAGGCGAGAAACAATTGTGCAAGAAAGGCTTCTTGAAGTTGAGGGTTGTGTGGTTCATCCCCTGCATATCTCATAAGACCCCCCCCCCCAAATCCAGGCTGCGACTCCCTGCCATGGGGCGCCTCTTGTGGCTGCTGCTGGCGATCTGGGCGGGTCTGGGCGCTAAGATCGACGAGGGCCCAGAGCTGGCCTCGGAGCAGATCTTCCAGGAGACGTTTGAAACCTCCCTCGTGGGAAACGAACCTAGGTCTCTGAGCCCTGGTGCGCAACCATAGGTGTCCTTTTTGGTTGTTTTGCCAGAAAAATAGATGGCCCTCTCATTTTGAAGGACGCCAGTCAAAACCCGGGTACGACCAACACTATGGGGTATTCGAGCTGGTTGCCTCAGTTTGACTCATTGGAAGCCCGCGGTCTAGTTGCCTCATGTGTTGTTCTGGTTTGGGGGTGATGGGTGACCAGTAACGTCGGTCTCACAGGGAGCGAAAGTGACCATGATGCGATTGAGGTGACTCGCGCTGTTTCGTCCGCAATCCAAAAAGGGGGCCCCTTGTCTTGGCACATTCCGAGAAGGCTAACATCAGGGCTCCATGCCCGCGGTGTCGATCAAAGCCACTTGTGCCTCTTGCCGGCGTCAAAGTTGGACACTTCAGATGCAACAAGGCAGGTTGAAACTCTAGACACCAAGGCTTGCAACAGCAGGTCTTCAAGAAAAGGGTCACAGATGAGATTTTTCACTGAGTTGGGTAGGCTACTGCTGAGTATGAGTGTCTTAGCTTTTCGTGGCATTGTTTGTTCTTTGTTTCTAGTAGGATGGAGAAAAAGCTTTGCATAGCTTCTCCTAGTTTCCACGGATGTGTCGAGGGGCCTGTTGTTTTGACAAGGCACTGTTTGACGGGGGGGAAAAGAGATCCAGGTCTCAGTGTTTGCTCGAGTCCTGAAGGTTCCTGGCTTGCCAGTCCCGCATTTCAAGCACACCAAGATCCGAGGGAAGAACATGCCCGCATGTTGTCTACTGTCTACGTGTCACCCTGGCAGGAACAACTCTAAGCCACACCCGTCGCTGAACCCCGGTTGGGTCCCGCAAGGAAGCGGTGCTCGAAGCAAAGTACTTCGACCTCAAGGACTGGGCCATGGGTTTCTTGATTTGGAGGGTACTCTTTTTGGATGGTTTTGAAGAGCCAAAAGGGCACCACCCATTTTGAATTTTGAGGTTCCCCTATTTTGAGGGAAATCGCCTGGCTGGCTTTACTGGTCGTGCTGGCGGGAGCGTGCCTCCTCCGGTGCAGCTTGCTTGTCGACAAACCATGGACCTAACGGATGTGCACAGGTCAGCTTGCAATGATGATGACGCAAATGATCAGGAATAGATGCCGGCACAGAATGATGAATGTGCGCTTGTTGCACGTTCCTGCTGTGGCTTCTGCCGCCGGACCATGCCCACCGCAGGATTCTTCACTTGCAGTAAATGCCATAGCTTGCGAGGACGGTTTGAATAGCCTGCCTCAGGCGTCATGGGGCCGAATGCCAAATGGCGGATAGGCTCGACACAGGAGAGACACGGCGTAGCAGATCGTCGAACCTTAGAGGCCTTCTTTGAGCTCTTCGATCTTTGGATCATGCTGTACCGCCTCTCGGCTGATTGTCACCTGTCGGGTATGAGCAGAATCCTGGGTTGTATCAGGTTGCATTCTGGATTCATTGATTGATTTGCTTGGTTCGGGTCAGCCGCAAGCTGTTCAACTTGTGCTCGTGTACAGTTGGGTGGGGGAGGGAAGCTCCTTCTAGACTGGGTTGGCAGAAGCTCCAACATGTAGATCAGTGTACTTGCTGTTGCTTCGCAGTTAGCAGTTGAAGTCTTGGGCTGTCAGCTCGTCCAAGTGGCTCCTGTCATTGGATCAGCCCCGTGGTTATTGGGCACGCAGTCCTTGGTGTGTTGAGTTTATCTCTCTTGTGCGTCCTCCCAAGTTTACCTCACGTTTCTTGTTGTTGCGTGGGTTCATTGCCTGGGATGCGTGCATTGAGTGACCTTTGATGAGCCATGGGAGCAGGGGTCCCAACATCGAGCCAGGTCTTCTCGGTTGCGTTTGGAGGGCAACGGCTTCTATGCGTGTTTACATACTTCAGAGCGAACATACCCGCGGTCCCTGGGAGTGACCGGCAAGAAACTGAATCTCAGCTAACAACCCTTTCTAGTTCTGCTTGCTTCAGGCCCGGAGTGCTTTGCATGCCTGGAAAAGAGGATCAGAGATCTGCCCCTTAGCCTCGGGGCCTAGATACTACAGTACATGCGGGCTCAGTTTTCAGAAAACTGATGTTTCCTTGCAGTCCTTGTTAGAGAAATGTCCTTTCAGTTTGCGTTGACGTTTAACCCTGGGAGAGCGTGTTCCTGCAGAAGCGCCTAGGGCGCTCCGCCGATAGCCCTCAGGGCTGCAACGATGTTTGTGGTGTTTAGTGTTGCCTGGCGGTCAATATCGGCGCCACGGATGTTGCACTTAGATTTCCTGGTAGTGTTGCAATTCTACGAACTGTAAATCTAGCTGTTGACCAACGTAGGCCCACTTCCTCCACTATGTGTGGCATATGTTGGTAATCTGTTGTGTTGACTGTTTGGAACAAACTGTTCGAACATTTGGGTCTAATTGTTGGACGTTGGGGCGGTCCTATTTTGAAGTTTGAGGAACTATTCAAGATTTGATGGGACAAATCCTCCATATGTTTTCGGCGCACCCTGCTTCCCTTTTTGCTTGCCTTGTTTTCGTGGCGCCCTGTTCCCTCTTGGCTTTATTGGTTTCTCACTGAACATGGTCAACACCAAACAGGGTTCTTGTTTCTAGCAGCGGTTGGAATTGTGACTCGGTATGCTTGCATCATTCAGAGGCCTCAACAAGATCGACGAGGCCATGGTGGAGGTTCTTCCGGCCTGCCAATGGCGCCAGGACCAGCTCACCATCAAAGCGATCCAGGCGCAGCCTTCCTGGTGCATTCCCACAGGACGCCCTACAAAGATGATTTGGGTCTTGTCTTTTTCCTGAGGGCGCTGGGTTGGTCGGTTTTGGGCGGCATTGATTTTGGATGGTGAAGTTGCACGGAAAGGAGACAGACTACCTCGGCAACCAAATAATATAGTCAGCACGTCGTCATTCTCCGGCGTTGTCAAAGCTATGGCCACTTGCATGTGAGGGATGGAAAGTTTAGGGAACCAACGCCGAGATTTCAACTGCAGGGGAGGGGAGTTTTGTCTAGAATTCTGTGTCTAGAATTATGTGTAAACAGGATAAAGGCCGCTCCTGCTCTCACCTGTAAACACTCACATAGAAGCAGATGATGAACTTTCCTTTCTTCTTCTTCTTCTTCTTCTTCCGTTTCCAGCCGTGGCAATCCGTGGCATTCCTATCTTAGAGACGGCTGGTCCATCTCTTTTCCATGACCAAGCAAAGTCACGTTTTTGTAGAATGCTCCCTGGGTATGATCCTGAATCTAACCTGCCTTTGGGCTGAGCAACATCTGAGGTAGACAAGGGGATGAACAGATTTCCGTTTTTCCCCACATTTCCTATTTGGGTGTATCTTTTGTTTCGAGGGCACCCTTTCCAATGACCCCCCCCCCCCATCCATCCACCGAATCCGACCCGATCGACTCACGCCATCCGAATCGCATCGAGCCAGGCGGTGGCCTTCCTTCGCTGGAAGCAGGGCAGGCACCGGGAGGCCTTGGCGCGGTTCCACGAGATGGACGCTGGGCTTGCGCTGGCCAAGCCCAGTGGCCTGCTTAACCCATATACATGGTTGTTGTTGGGAAACAGTTGAAACATTTTTGCTTATATTATTGTGGTTTAGTGGTTGAACTCCCCACTTAACTGCTAAAACTTAAGTTGCCTCAGATTGGAGCAAGTTTTGTGCATGTTGAATGGAATCCGGACCTTTGGGGTTGTGTTTGCGACACCTTCGCCGCGAGTTCATTGGGTCACTGAAAATCGAATCGACCCACAAAAACGGTTCGCACTGGGCTTGGAATTGTCCAGGACATACAAGGGCTGTGAGGTTGTCATGGGAGTTGCTAGAGTTGCCGTTGGTGTTGCGCATATTTCCCAGACAATGCCGTCCGCGATTGGAGCACAGACCCGGACAGCATGTTTAATGGAGTTGGTTGTGGAATTGGAATTGCACCAATGGCAATGAAAAATGCACGCCTACGGTTTTGGGTCTCGCAGCCCTTCACAGACATTCGCTTTCCTTGCAGATGCGCTCTGTATTTCCAAAGTTTTCCATTATTGAATGGCACGCAGGTTGATCTCAAGATATCCAGAGCAAAACTAACTCATGTCCGAAGGGAAAGATGTGTGTGACAAAGCCCCTCCAATTAACCAAGTTCAAGGTCTTGTCCAGTCTGGGTCTGGCCTGTGAGGAACAAACGGTTGCAACAACACATCCCATGTCCGTCCGAGCGAAACAAAGAGACTGGGTTCCACCTAAGTTGACCAGGGCCGGGCGCAGCCGAGGAAGGTACACTTGGGAAGAACCCGGCCATTTGCGAGAACATTGGGCACACTTACAATGCGAGTCTTGGCGGAACAGACCGGCTGCAGTCGAAGCCCAACACTGGCTCAGAGCACTTGCTAACATTACACCATTGCTGTTCTGTTGGCAAGCCACTGTCACAAAAGAAGAAGCGGTCCAACACATGTGCCTTGCTGTGTGTTACGCCGCTTTTTCCTGACAGATCATTTTGCTTTGCAACTGGGCAACTTGCGGAGGTCCTTTGCAATTGGCATGACAGTCTGACCAGCCATACGACGTTACCTGCAATCACGTCCTTTTCGAAAGCCACGGATTCGCCGATGATTCGCGTCGAAGGTGGTTCAAAGCGGCTGGGTCAAATGAGGGCCACTACTATCTCAAACCAGTTCAGAACTTCGTCCAGGGCTGGTTGTTTGTTCGAACAGCTTGAAATTTAGTAGCACGCAGGTGTGTTTGCCCACCTTTTTGCTGCGAAGAATCCAGCTCTCAGCTTGGTCTAGAGGCAGCCACTTGGTATGACTTTGCCTCCTGGCACCTGTAAGGTTGGGCATGCCCAAGGAGGCAGAGCAGTACTTCCAGCAGAGCCTAGTCTTTGTTGAGGCCAACTTCGCAGGAGCTGCGGAGAACAAGGGTGCCCTGGACCAAAACACTTTTCGCCAGTCGCCAGCCCAGGTTTCGATGCCAACACCTTTTGCGCGTTTGCCCGTTTGCCCAAAACCTGCCCATGTGTTTTGGTTGCAAGTGCAGCGCATGACTCGTTTGTCAACCCGCTTGAAATCTCCTCGCAGGATTTGTACGTGGCAAAATTCTCCCTGATCAAAGGTTAGCCCTGCTTATGCCCCACGCGTGTCCCGGCATGGCTGGTGTCCTTTCGGTTTCTGACTCCAACCCAAGACGGGCACGAGACACGGCCCACACCGGGCTCGAGGGCTCGAGGGCTCGAGGGCTCGATAGGTGGGGCCTTGCTGGGCCTCGCGGGGGTCCGCGAGAAGCAGCTGAAGATCCCCGAAGCGCTGGAGGCAGCGCAGCAGGCGTGGAAACTCCATTTGGTTTTGCATGCCTATGCCGAAATTGACATACACACGCGCTGAGATAATATATCTATATATACATATATACTTACATAGTGCCCGCCTGCACACTGCCAATCAAACCTATCCGTAGTATGTTACGTATACTATACGTAGACATAATTATAGTGGCAACGGCTGCTTTGTACCTAGCGCGTTTCCGTGTACCGGGTAAGCATAAACCAGGCCCCTTCAAGTGATTTGGATGTGGCTTCGAATGAGGTGCCCCCCTGAACCCTAAACCCGAAACCCGAAACCCTAAACCCGAAACCCTAAACCCTAAACCCTAAACCCGTCTTGCTGAAACGGCGAGGGGCTTGGTTTGAGCCAGGCCTACGACTTCTACAAGTCTCGAGACCAGGAGCGCGGCTGGGAGTCCTCCCTGACTGCCAAGGCAGCAATGGCAGTAAGCAACTTGGATAGCGAGCACCCCGAGTTACCTACAGCATGTACACGTCCACACTCCTTTCTTGGTTTAAACCCCTTGGTGCACTTTGCGGGCAGGTTCGGTTTTGGGCTGACTTGCATTTGGTTTGAATTTCGCTCTTACGCCGTGTTTTTCACAGCAAGCCCTTGTGAGGATGTTGCACTCAGCACTGCCACGGTGGCCATATGAAGAGAGTGCTTTTCGGGATGCCAAACATGCAGGAAATTGCCGCTTGCTTAGTTTCCAGGTTGGCATACATTTTCTCGGCAAATTAACACAAGTTGGTTTATGCAAGTTGCCTCCAAACCTAATCAAGAACGCAGATCTGCAGAAGCTGCCAGCTGCGCAGCAGTGAAAGCGCCGCACATACTAATTAAAACGCAATAGTAAGCATCAAGCAACCATGGTTTCCCTGGTCACATGATAATTCAAAATACGAGTGTGTGCGTCGAACACTTCAAATGCTTATTTTCGTGGTAAGGGGTCACTTGCTTTGCACGCCAATCGCAAGGGGGCCAGCCACAAAGAGTTTGGATTCCCTTGTGCCGCCGCCCAGGAAACCTGATAAATTCCCTGAGACCTCAGACCATGTCGTTTTTGCAAGTTCTGGGGGGAGGTTTGTTCAAGCTGTCGCTTTCCTTTTTGGGGTTGGCATCGAAACCTTCCCCAGTGGGCCCCATGTGCCGACGCGGGTGAGGCAAGATGCAGTTGAAGCTTGAGAACCTGGACGATGCGGAAGCAAAGGCACAGGCTTGGCAGAGCGAATTGGGCCGGCGGCCGCGAGGTTCGGAAAGTCAAGCTTGTGACAATTTTGCCAATGTCCAGTTCAGTAAAGGAAACCGAAAGGCTGGGTATACGGCATTGGTATTTTTCCATGTTTTCTCCAGACCCCCTATTTAGCAAGCAGCAAGGCGACAGAGGGATGGCAGAGGGATGGCACTACAAAGGAAGAACACACCCCAAAAAGTCATGCGCACGTAAGGGGAAGCTACATGAACGATAGATTTGTCACATGATTTTTTGGGGAAGTCGTGTGGTCAAGGCCGGTCATCTTGGCAGGCGGGAGATCTGTGTAACATAACAACAGGCAGTTTCCCTGTGGTGGTCCTTTAAGGCAACCCCAAATAAGCCACGCCGAAAAGAGTGCCGTCAAAAGACACATCCATCGGGGCCGTTCGGGCATTCGGCCCTCCCCCCACCAGGGCTTTGATGTTTGGTTTTGTGCAGGGCATTTGTTGGAAAGCTTCTTGGAAGTCGTCGGTGGCATTGAAAGTCTGTCTAGGTTTGACGGGTGGATTGGGGGCGGTTTCGTGCTCGTTTCAAGGTTCCCAGTTGTTCTGGGTTAGTAAGAGTGGCATGTTGTTGTCTAAACGGCTGATGTTGGTGCACTCAGCTTCAGGAGTTGGTTTTAGAGGGGGGCAAGGGCAAGTTGAGGATGCAGCAAGCTCGCCAGGATGGATTCAGTGCAGGCTTAGGCATGGCTTAGCAAATGTTTGGGGCGCACTTTAACAGTTGGTTGGCATTAATTCGGTTTGCGGGGTGTTGAGGGCGGATTCTGGTTTCCTTGTTTGGGGTGACTTGGGATTGGTTTGGTTCACATGCACTTGATTTAAGTCAGACTTGGGACTGGGTTAGGTTGAAGTTGGGTTTGATTGTTTGGCTATGATCATCCGAAGTGTACGGCTGATTCCAGGCTGCCTCAGGGCATGAGCTAAAAGCTCGAGGCCGAGAAGGTCAACGGAATGCGGAAAGCGAAGCAAACACAGCCGTCAAGCCACCAGGCCTTCGGAAATGCAAATGTCGGACCAGCAGGAAGATGGAATGTTCCAAAACATGAAAAACAGATATCACATCCGTTATCAAATCGAAAACATAGTCTTGAAGACCTGTACCACCAGCATCCCATGCTGCCCTGTGGCGATCAAGATTATTTTGCCCGCTAAGCTCGGCGATGATTACTATTTCTCGTTGTTCAACATCTTTGAGCTAAGTTCAGACCCCCCAATCTTGCCTGCCCTGGCAAGCTCGGGAGAGCAAGCAAGACAAAAAGATAACTGGTCTACCCGGTCTACCCGCTTCCTGTTGAGACAAAAGGACCATCCCTCGATTCCATCAGCCAGAGGAAGCCGTGCGGCTCTTTGAGTCCACCTCTGGGGAGGACTCGCCGCTCTTGGCCAGCGCCTGGCCACTTGGACAGCGATCGCATCTCGCTGGACTTCCGCTGGTTGTTTAGCCCATGGCGGAGGCCCCTCTTTCGGTTTTGGCAGCATTCAACGTATGTCAACGTTAGGGACTTGACTCCGTGCCACCCATGAAAGTGATTCCTTCTTGGGCATCCGTTCATTTTCAGTCTTTGTGGATGATGATTTCAGCAAGCTGTTGTTTTACCTCGACATTTTTGGCCGAAGGTCTGAGACAAATGATTGAGGGCGGCAGCTATGCATTTGCACAATTCTTAGCGCGTCAAAACAAACTGCAATATGGAAGCAGAACTAGTTTGCAGATGTTTGCAGCAAATACGAGCGGGCCCTAGTTGGATTTAGCCTGCTTGTCTCTTGATGCGGCAAATTTACGTTTGTATCGGGGCATTTTGATTTGGAAGGGTGATTTTAGTTTGCGCCCCACTTGCTGCCACACAGTCAAAGGCAGCCACAACCTGTCGTAAGTCCCGGGATATGCGTACAGGTTGGGGCAGACTTGCGTGGTTGATTACACCCTTGCTATTTGTCCAACCTTCCCTCAGGCACACAACTATGACATAAACACGACTCAGCGGTGCAGTGCATGACACCATTTTTTCGTTGCACTGCCAGCATCGTCACCCACCCGCTGCATGTGGGTGACTCTGAAAGCTTGAGAAAAACCTAACCCTGCTCCATGGGGGGTAAAAGTGGGAGAAATTGCCAATGGGCCAATGGCAACTGCATTTGGGAAAGGGCGGAACATGTTTGGTTCCCAGAATTCCTTCACAAGGGGCCTGCATGGTGTCCCCTTTGACGGCCCAGGTTCAAAATGAACTGCATGAATTCCTTCTGGGTTTCCGTAGGCGCAGCCCCCAAGGAAGGATGATTGCTTCAAGAATGGGCCCTGCTCAACAAAATCAAGCACGAGTCTTTGAAGCAGACTTAGGATTACACCCCGGACTCTCGATCACTCACAGTGGGTGATGGGTCTTTAGTAATTTTGTGGTTGGTGGTGGGATTGGATTCTTGAGAGACGGTAATGAGACAGTAATGAGACGGTAATGACCTTGTTTGTATCGCTTTGCTCTTCACCTGTCCCTCCGACAACGCTGAGCCATTCTGAGGAAAAGGCTTGGTGAAGTGCAAATGAAACAGGAGACATGGGAGACGGACGGGCAGGCCTGTGTCTTTTCTTTATCGGAATTTCTGGCATTCTGTTCAGTAGTTCAATGGCGCTGTTTCTTTGCAACTCGGTCCTTCTTCCCCAGCCCGACCGCGCAACTCTCTCCACAAAAGGATGATGGCCCATTTCATCATTTCAGTTTCGGCATGCCAGAAGCTGAGGTTAAGGAGAACTTCCGCTGATTGGGGTTTCACCAGGTTAGAGAGCCAGGGGTTAAGACAGGTTTGAATTCTCAGCTGTTCAGAACCTGGGCAGCTTCCACTATGCTTTGTATGAGACCCAATTCAAATCATGCGCGTTGGGTCCACAGCCTCCATTGCAAGCCTTGGCTCGCGCATGTTGGACTTTTTGGTGGTGAGTATGAGCAGGTCGTTGTGGACTAGCTCAATCTCAATCTCGCTGCAAGGGTATGGCTTGCACAGAAGTCATGCACTGCAGGAGCGATTTGTGGATGCGCGCATTGCCTTCCACATGTCATACAAACTGGAGGCGATCAAAGATGCTTTCGACCTCACCGAAATAGCTACTTGGTGAGTGACGTTGTCGCTATGATTCTATCTGGGCTGAGACAGGGTTTTTCTTTTCCATTGTTGGCTAGGTGAAGTGCGCCCCTAGTGCAGCACCCGCTAGGATCTTTTTAGCCAACCATCAGTGCCATTGAAGAAATCAGGGACTAGCCACCACGCGCGTGTTTTGTTTTTGTTTCTGCTTGTAAGCATGATGCAGCAGTATCACGGCCAACTCTTTGAAGTCTTGTGTCTGTGTTTGTGTCTGTATGTGTGGCATTATGTGTCTCTGTGTGCCTCAGTTTGTCTCTGTGTCGCTCGTTGTGTCTTTGCGTCCGTGTGTGCGTGTGGCACAGGCTTTGCCGACCCAAATTCCCACAACAAAACGACTTGTCAGATTTGTAGGCAACACACTTGGCCTGTTTTGAAACCAGGCGCTCAGTGCCTTCGAGGTGATTGTTCACCAAGCCCTGATGGATGCACACCTTGGCCGGGGTCCTCTGGACCGCACGATCTTCCGGAGCTACTTTGGCACCATCTCGCAGGCGCCGGCAGAGTTCCTCGAGTGTGCATGCGACTTTTCCCGTCTTTTTTAAAGGTTAAACACTCACTTGCCCAAAGCCGACCTTTTGACCTTTTGCTTTCTGTGATTTGGTCCATTTTAAGTCATGGCCCCAAAAGGTTAACCTTTTATTTCCAGGTCCTTTGGGCACCTGAGGTTAAGTTACATCCGCAAATGTTGGCGTTAATCCCCTTGCATCGCAGTTGCTCATTGGCGCCCCTTCCGTGTTTCTGGGGTGTTGTCCCGATTGACATGGTCAACCCAAACAGGCAGAACGGCATGCAGTGCGACAGGAACAGGCCTCCGAACCTGTGTCCCTTCGGCAAGTTTGCAGTTTCGGCCTTTGGTTTCCACTCAAGTGTTCAGTTCTTTGGTGTTTTGGGCGGATGGATCTCTCGGGGACGTGCCAGGCCCTGCAGCGAGTGCGGAAGCTGCGCCTTGCCGCTATTTCAGCGAGCGCCGGGCAGGCCTCGAGGGCCCTTCAACCGGACCTCGGGGATGGAAACGGGCGAAACGAAACCTTGAACCTTTGGCTGTTCACCCTTTTACCCTGGAAGTGAAGCTGTTATGTTGAAAATTGATTATCCATTTCAGCTGGGTCGGAAAAGGGAGTGAAGCCATTACCCTGAGTTTCTGGTAGTGGGAGACCTTCACGTTGTGATCAGTTTCTCAGGAAGCAGGACGGCAACGCGGGGGCCTTCTACAAGCTTGCAGGGGAGGCCGGTCGTGATCGTGATAGCCCGCAGCAGACATATTTTTTCGGCCATCTTGCAAATCAAGAAGATCTAGGGAACGGCAATCAGGTGGCACACGAAAAACCCGACCTGCCTGTAATGCGTATAAATGTCTTGAATGCTTTGTTGTCATTCGATTTCGCAGGATGCTGATCGTATGGTAGTGTCATTGACGATATTATCAAAACTGATTGAATTTCGGGGCAGAAGTTGTATGTCGGGTTTGCCTTAGGGTCGCTCTCAATTGCAGTGCGCCTTGAGAGGTGGCGTTGTCAAGTCGCGGGTCGTGTCACTTGTGTAGCTTGCCAGGTAGCTTGCATGACATTCATGAATGTTCAACTTCCGGCGCGATCAAACCTTGCCGTCATTTTGGGTCAAGAGACAACGGCCCTTTCGGCACGGCGGCCAACGGGATTCGCAACCCCAGGAGCAACCCAGCCGACATGACGCATGATAATTGTTCATTTACGTGTTCGGTTGTGTCCAGGCAACGCAGGCTCTGCATATGACAAGATCCAGATTTCGCATATGCATATCTAACTAACAGCTAGTATTTTACTATGAGGTACATTGGCAGCTTTGACAATGAATCATTTGAGGTGTGATGCCACGGCAGCGAGTCGCCGGTGTTTTGCTCGCAGCTTAGGAGGGGCGCAAAGCGCGTCAAGTATGTAAAAGCGTCAAGTACCTAAAAGCCAGGCTCACCTGCCATGGGGGCTGGCAGAGCTGCTTTCTTGTTTTGGCAAGTCGAGGGCCGGCCGTTTCTCATGGATTTTTGCTGATGCTCCAGGAAGCCTTCGCAGTTTTCGCTCAACGTGTCCTGATTGTTTTACGGCTTGACCGCGTTGACCCCTCTTGACCGCCAACTCGCTGCCCGACACTTTGGCTGACCCTTAGCCCAACAATCAGCCGAATTATCAGCAAAGGTGCACCCTCAAAAACACACTTTTCAGCAGTTCAACAATGTTGAATAACGTGAACATATTGTCAGTGTAGAGATGGCGCTGCTTTTATTAATTTCCCGCGGTCATCCTCCGACTGCTGGCGAAAATCACACCCTTCCCAAATTCCGGCATCTTGAATTTACACCTCTTGGAGGTCTTTGTGCTTGGCAACGACTGCAAGGCTGGTCCGGCACTCTGGTTGATGACGTGAGGCATAGGAACTGGTCGATGTGGGCAGCAGACTTCAAGCATGTCCGCATGTATCGAAGGATTCTTCCCAGCCTGAGCGATATTCATCGCGGTGTCAAACGTTAGAGTGTATGCCACTTATTACTGGGCTGTTTGTCAATATACAGATTGCTGCACGGTGGCAATACGAGAGACCAGCCTGGTTTTGCAAGTGACTGCGTTAGGTAAATGTCTGTAGTTGTCGCAGTAAAGTGGCATGTTGGCAAGCGGAATGCCACTTCATGGCTTGTTGCAAACGTGCAATTGCATCGGAGGGAACCTTACTCTGGCCACTCGAACGTTTGCCACGGCTAGTCTTCCATCTTCTGAGGCCCATCATTGTGTTCTGTTTTTTCCCCCGTTTTGTTCAATTAAATAAAGGAAGACACAAAACAACTAATAAAACACTATATATATATATGTTGAAAAAAAAGGAAGAAGATATCACTATCATGTTGATCCTTGGCAGGTAACATACGCATGTATTGAACAAAAACAATGCATGTGGGCCCGAATTCCGCGCAAATCATACCAATGTCCTTATATGGTAGACGGAATGGTCTATCTATTGCAACTGTGTATGTGAATAGATGAGCGCAGCTCATGCAACAAGACAGCTTCCTGTTGATCTTCAAAAGGCAATGACGGTGAAGTAGAAGCGTTTCGTGGCCTGAGCCAGGTGCCACATGTCCGTCCAGTCACGCATCCCCAAACTCACCAGTCGATTCTCGTCAATCATAGATGGCACGGGTTGCAGTTTTATCAACTAACCATCAACGACCTATACTTGTACTTACTTTCAGGTAAGTTAGCCGACTGGTCGTGCACCTACCCCCAGACATAGCTATAGGCTCGGCGTTTACACCCTCATGCCTCGGGTACTAACTATCTAAACACGTCCTGGGCGCCTGGCCTCAGCTTGCGCCAGCAGGCTGGAGAGCCGCTGTTGTCCATGGCCGTGTCGCTCTTGCAGATGGAGACGGAGATCGATACCAGGCGCGTGGCGAAGACGGGTACGTTTGTGCGCGAACATTAGTCACTTTGAGTGGGAACCCTTCCATACATTGTCAGGGGCGCAATCATTTGCGTTTTTGGCCGGTAATGTTTACTCTGATTGTGACCGACTCCCTCAAAGTCGGCAAGGTCAATCGGATTCTAGAGGGTGTTGTTCGAACGGGGTACTGTCATGGCAACCCTTGGGACTATGGCAAACATTTTAAATTAAGATTTTCTGTGGTACACAAATCAATCTACTTCATAGGGGATTTGAAGAGTACCAACGGGATGAGGGACAGGTGTCATTTGGCCAAATTAAAACTAGTACTGGTTGTCAGTAAGTTGGCTCCATTGGCATTGCTCTCTTTCGTCAATCGAAATTCTAGCTTGGCTGCTCCAGGCCAATGGTAAAAGCTTCTCGAGACCTCATCAGCACCTGGGCGGGATGGGCAACCGGTGACAGATTTGTTGATAGGACTGCGGCCAAGACATTCGGTCAAAGCGAGCGAAATCGGCCGCAGCCATGCTCGGGCCACCCACAGGGTTCCATTTTTGGGATTACGCCACAGTATAATTGTAAGTCTTATGTTTTGGGATGAAGTTATTTGGCGGAAAAAGACGGCTGAACCGTGGCCCTGCCAACCTGAGGCTTTTGCAAGGGTACCTATGTGCCGCCACGCGCCGAGCTTTGAAAATAATGTCACTCATGGCGTGCGATCATTGATGCGAAGACACACATGTGGCAATATTGAAAAACATGCTGGATTGATGGGGGGGCAGGGTGGACCATCAAATGGCATGGGCATTGCCATTGTTGTGTTTTTGGTTCATCAGATTCAGAAGTTTGCATTTGCTGGTGGGTTGGAATTTTCACTCGATGCAGTTTAGATTGAACGTGCTTGCCTATTTGGCAACTGATGTCACGTACCGAACCATTTTTGGCTTCAAAACAGGCAATCAAACCGGCTTGATAGTGCCCAACATCGCATGCACAGCAGGCAAGCAAGCATTACATATCCACAAATGTATCATGACGTTGCAACAAAATGTGTTTCCGGCATTCCAGTCATTTGGTTTCATGTTATTTGCAATTCTACCTTATGCTGATATTGCGCTGTGTTTCACCCGTCCACCAAATTGACGGATTTCCCAAGTCAAACTATTGTGGACCAGACGGCCATGGAAGAGAACCTCCTGGCCGCGGCCAAGCGCGTGCCCTCGGATCGAATGAAGCATCTTCGGACGTTGCGTCAGGGTTTATGTTTTAAAGCGAAAGACTACAAACCTCTATTTTTTCACTTGCCCAAAGCCGACCTTTTAACCTTTTGGTTTCCCTTATTCAGTCAAGGAGCCGTTGGGCAACTGAGTTTGGGGTTCCCCTGTTTTGGGATACCGCACTCACTTCCTGTTTGGCTATGCGTGGGTGTACCAGGTATGGTCCAAAGTGGAGGAAGAGATGAAGGCAGGCAGCCGTTTCGCACGCCAGATTCAAATCCGGTCAGCATTCATGTTTTTGTTCACCCCCCCCCCCATTTTTGCAACACGTAGCCGCTGCAAGGTATTTTGAAAGCATAGATATTGTGGTTTACTGCGAATTGTTTGAGAGGGGTCCGCTTGATGCCATTTGTTTGGACAGTCCCTTCATTGTCTCAGTGGCTGGTGGCGTTTGCAGGCGGTGGAGGACATGAAGGAAGGTCTCCTCCTTTCTCCAGATGAACTGAAGAAGGCGGGGCCTTG